CAATTCTTTTCTATATAATGACTCAGTATATTCCTTCCATCTTCTTTTAATACTTCCTGGATCATTTAATATTCTGCCCAAAGCATCCTTGATAAGCTTAATTTAGTAAACCATTTCTCTCTGTCTTTCTGTAATGAAAGTATAAATAAGTACAAGAATTTCACCTCCAGTGATCCAAGATGGCGGCAGAGGTGGAGACAATGTGGTGAGCTGTGGGAGCAGTGGACCACTTGGAACAGGGCCACTATGACCTTCTACAGACTTCTGTTTATTGATAACTGAACAGTTAAACAGTTGATGACTGTTCTTCAGTGAAGAATTTTATTACCTCCAAATGTTTTAAAATATGCATAATTTCTTAGAAGGGAGATTGAAGCTCCTGTATCCTCTAGTCATTCTATGGAACTCTTAGAGCCCCAGTAGACAGAGTATAAATTTTCCTTAGTGCTTGCTAGTATATAATCTCATAGGAGCAGATCTTTCTCCCACAGAACCTCTGGATGGCTTCAAACTAGCAACCTTTGTTTAGCAGCTAGTTACTTAATCATTATACAGGGCTCCTTTGCTTTAATCATAAGGATTGTGAAATTGTAAACGAGTTTTCAAAAATATGTCCTAGAACACTGATCCCTCAGTAAGAAAGTGATTTAAAAGTCAGAATTGATACTTTTTTCCCCTTTTATTTTTGCTATTATATAGCCAGATTCTCCTGAATATAAAGCCGCTTGCAAACTCTGGGATTTGTATCTTCGAACAAGAAATGAGTTTGTTCAGAAAGGAGAAGCAGATGACGATGATGATGATGAAGATGGGCAAGACAACCAAGGGACAGTGACTGATGGAGTAAGTGTGCAGCTGGAAGGTAGTGAGTGGGCCAGTCCCTCTTTTTGGTGTTCAATGGGCACTGTAAGCAGAGGCTTCTAGTGAGTTTGTATTGGAGACTGTTGTGGTAAATGGGCCTACAGCTGGAGAATCCCCTCCCAGTTACAGAGGGTCTAGGAAAACCTGGCCAGTGTGCCATGCACATCTGTTTTCAGGAATTCTCTTACATTGATGCATGCTTGTGACTCACTAATGTAAAGTCTTTACATTGCCAAAGACTGATCAAGTATTGCTAGATGTAGACATAATGAAAGGGTTACAGTGTTGTGTTAGTGAAGAGGAGAGGCAGTAGAATGACCTTCATGGGGACTGTTTTTGTAGATTGAGTTGGTCACTGTTTCTGAAATATGACAAGTATGTTCCTGCCTCTGAAACTTTGCAGTTGTTCTCACCTCTAACTAGAATATGATTTTTGCTGGTGTTTCATGTGACTGATGTTTTTCATTATTTTGTGTTAGCTTTAAAATTTCGGGTACTCTTTAATACTTAACATTAATTTGTGAATTTATCTCACAAAATACTTCTCTCTTCCTTTTCTTCTCTCTCCCCTCAAGTCTTCTCCAAGTTACTTGAAGGAGATCTTGGAGCAGCTTCTTGAAGCCATAGTTGTAGCCACAAATCCATCTGGACATCTCATTAGTGAACTTTTCCAGAAACTGCCTTCTAAAGTGGTGAGTGAGTGATGACATTAAAGACATATAGAAGTCAGGGGGGTTTTTTATTTGTTTTGGGGTTTTTTTAATAGATTTTAATAAAATTAAAGGAAGATGTTGGAGGAGCCTTGTGGCCTCAGGAGGAAGAGAAGTTTTTCAGTTACTTAATGCAGGAGTGTACTAGGTTTTTAAATTTGTACTGTTATTTTGTTTTGTTTTGTTTTATTTTATTTAAATTTATTATTAATTTCAGTAAAAATTTACAGAGACTTTGATTTCCGTTTATTCATTGTTGCACTTTTCTCCCCTCCCAACCCTCCCCCTACTTTGTACTGTTATTTTAATGCTTCATAATCTGAAATGATAAGCTTTCTTATCATTCATTGCGTACAAATTGGAACCAACTCATAACTGCCCCTCCAGCAGATTTTCAGAGGCTATGAATCACACAGGAGAAGAATACCCATTTTCCTTCCGAGGAACAACTGGGAGGTTTGAACTGCCTGCCTTTGGATTGACAGCACAGCTCCTTGCCCACTAGGTCATCAGAGCTCCATAAATAATAAGCATCTATACTAAGTCTTCTGTCTGTGGGCAAAACTTAGACATTGCTTGGAGAACAATGTGAGAGGAAGAGAAGTGAGTTCTTAATTTCTTAGTTCTTAATCTCTTGGTCATGGAAAGAGAAAAAAAATAGGTACTTTTCTGCTCCAGTAAGGAACAGGGTTTCTGGGCAAGTAAACCTGTTAAAGTTAATCTTTTCTGGGCAGAGCCCCTTACCACTTCACACCCACAAAGCACCTAACATAAATACAGTTTTGATTCACTTAAGCTAGTGGAATTGCAAAAATTTCTTTGATCTCGGCATTCTTTGGTGGCATAGTGGTAAGGAATTGTGCTGCCAACCTAAAGTATACAATTTGAATCCATCATATGTTCCTTGGGAGAATATGGACATTCTCCTCCTGTGTGATTTACTGCATCATAAAGCCTACTGACCAGCTTTGCATCGATTCCAACTGGACAGTACACAACAGCAGCAATAGCAATCTTTTATTTCTAGATAAGATTATGCTTTCAAAGTACTCCACCTTTTTGTAACACTTACTCTCACATTGTCATAATTTTCTTTCTTTCTTAAACATGCCCTGTTTTTTTTGTTCCTCCTTATCCATGCTGATGTCTGCCGTTTTGGAGGGTGTATAGGTGGGGAAGGAAGTTATATGTCAATTTCTCTACTTTTGAGCCACTGACTAGGTATGAAGGCATCTTGCATTAGTTGGAATAAGAGTTATAATGACTGAAAATAAGAATTTTTCCATTTGGGGATATAATAATACCTAGTTTTTATATGCTGATTACTGTGCTCTGTGTTAAGAGAGCTTGTGATGTAGTCCATAGAGAGTTGTGCTCTCTAAGAAGGCTGTGCTTCTCTGGTAATTGAAATCCACCAGCTGTTTCTTGGGAGAAAGATGGTATTCCCTTCCCTGCTGATGAAGGGTCAGCTGTGATTTGGAAAGTACTTGAAGACAGAGAGGGATTATATTCACTGTTTCATACAAACGACTCAATTAATCTTCACTACTACTCAATGAAGTTATTTTAAGTTGCTATCTAACAGCAATTTCAACTCACAGTGACCCGTGTGACAAAGTATAACTATCCAAGGGAGCGCTGGGTGGCCTAGTGGCAAGAAGCTGCACTGCAATCCCAGAGGTACATGATTTGAATCCATGAGACACTCTGCTGGAGAAGGAGGGGCAGTCTCCTCCTGTATTCAGTCAGATACGATTTGACGGTAGACACAAAAAGTATTTTTTTTTAAAAAAAGAAATATAACTGTCCAGTTAGGGGTGTTTTGTTTTTTTTATGACTTAATGTGTCTGCTTAACCTTGTGTTCTTTGACTTCACTCTCTTCGCAGAGCTTTTTTGGTTTTTTAGAGCTCATTTTTTTGCTTGGCTTTCTTGCATGTTTTTATATATGTTTCATTGTGGTTTGAGTGAAAGTTTACAAGGCAAATTTGTTTACCATTCAACAGTTAGTACACATTTTGTTTAGTGACATTAGTTTCCATCCCTTCATTGTAATAGCCTGTCTTTCCACTTCCTCCCTGGGCTGCTGCTTTCTATTCACACATCTCTCCTTCCCCTTTTGCCTTTTAAACTCTGTTTTAGACCATATATGTTCATTATCCATCTGAAGAGTGTATTTCTCTTAAATGTTATTCAGTCCATAAGTTTATCTGTTGTTGAGCTGAAACATAATCTCTCAGAGTAGGTCCAGGTTTGTAGGGTGCTTACAAACCAGTCTCAGGAGTTTATAGTTTCTTATTAGACCAACAGATCAGGTCTTTCTATGATTTTAAATTTTGTTCTACATTTTTCACCTATTGTCTAGGCACTTCTCTTGTGGTCCTAATCAAAAGTGATGGGCAGGTGGTATCCAGGCACCAACTAATTCTTTGAGTCTTAGGTTAGTGGAAGATACAGTTCATGTGATTCCTCCATCCTTTGAACTAATTATGTTCTGGAGTTTTCTATCATCTTCTTCCTTCTTTGCTTTGCAAGACATATACGTTACACCTTAGATGGCCACACACAGCTTTTAAGACTAGTAGCAACTCAACAAACTAGAGGGTACAACATTATCCTCATTGATAATGTTATAGCAGTTGGTCTAAATGTCCCAGAAACTATGTTCCTAAGCATTAAAGGTTATTTGCTTTTGTATCTGCCCCCTTTCATAGTCCCTTAATTTCTTTCTTTCTTTTTTTTTTTTTTTAAATTTTATTATTTTGTGTGTGTGTACTGTCAAATCAGATCTGACTGGTAGAGGAGGAGATTGCCCCTCCTTCTCCAGCAGAGCATCTGGTGGAATTGAACCGCACACCTCTGAGACTGCAGTGCAGATAGATTCTTGTCACTAGGCCACCAGAGCTCCCTAGCCCCTTAGTTTCTTAAGGGCAGGAATCTTAACCACTTTTGCCTTTGTATCCCTTCCATGTAATTGAATCCCAACTTGTGATAAGTGTACAGTAAGTTCTTGTTTGAGTTTTGTTTTTTTCCTTTCCTTCAACAAACAGAAATTTATTCTTTTATTGCTTAGGAAACTAGAAGCTCAAATCCAACATGTCAGCTCTAGGGGAAGGTCCTCTCTCTGTTGGTTTTAGAGGAAAACTCTTATTTCCTTCGGTACTTGTAGGGCTGACGTTCCTCGGAGATCTCCATTTATCTAGACCTTCCCAGTGCTGAGCAAACTTCCTAGCACAGACTTGAGTCCAAAAGAATAAGTGCTTGTTAAGTGGTGAATGGCATATGGCTTTCTCCACCCTTCACTGACAAGATGAATTATTTAAAGTGGTGACTAACATAGGACATTTACGAAAAATCAAACATAATAACCAGTATGCTCCTGGATGTGTATCTGATTGTTGTTGTGTACCTTTGAGTCGGAACTGGCCCATAGCTGACACTCCAGTGGGTTTTCAGAGGCAGTTAATCACACGAAAGGAGATTGCCCAACCTTCTTCCGCAGAGCAGCTTAGTGGCCTTGAACTATATGCCTTCCGGATTGCAGCTCATCTTCTTGCCACTGCTGTTAGGTGGTGTCATCTATAATTTATAGCGACCTTGTGAACAATAGATAGGAACCTTGGCCTGTCCTGTGCTATCATTACAATCTCTCCCATGCCCATGCCTATGATTATGTTAGGCAGATGATTTCAAATTATAAGAAAACAATGCTTATTCAAGACTTAACCTCACCATGCAGGGTAATGAGTAGTGATCAAGCCACCAGCCATGATTTGGCACATCTAAGCAGCCATGTATGGTTCCCCTGTTCCAGGAAGGCATTCATTAACAGGAGTTATTTGAGGATGCAGGCTTCCATTGGTTGCTCAGACAGTAAGGATTGAAAGCTGAAGTAGAAGGCCCTTTGTATCTTTCCTTTGTAAGTCCTTCCCTGGTGGTGACTGTCAGATTAGGAGAAGAGGATTAGAAGTACAAGTATCAGTGGTTTGCGTTACTTGGTACCCAAACCTGGATATCTTTACAGTAATTTGTCTTCTGAACTGGTTCTTAGAGGTAGAATTGGTCAGGAGCAGAGGGACAAGAAAAAAATATATGCTCCAAACAAAGGAAGGATAAGGCTGAAGAAAGTAAGGGAGGATTGAGGCTCAGTGAAGCATTGTTGAGATCATCCCTCAGCCCACTGTCTGAGTGAAGACCGGCCACCCACCTTTTGTTGTTCAAACTCCAGTAGAGTTTTGAGTAATTTGAAAGAGTTGGCTTCCCCTGAGACTTACCTCAGCCAAGGAGATTAACTTCTTATTTTTGTTTAACTTCACTTATTTCTTCCAAAAACTAAACTAGTAAAGCCTCACACACAGAATGCATACTAAGTATTGCAAGAGCCTTCAAGGACATTCCCTTCTTGTGATAGGCTAATCTTTTAAGGTTGGTTTGTTGTTTTTTTTAAATGCACTTTAATTTAAAATGTTTATTTTGGGTTTTTTAAGTTATTTTGATGAAAATAAGTAGAAGCCTTAAGCATTAAACTTTCAACTCTTACATCTTTCCTTCTGTTATATTCTTGTGAAGTATTTTAAGAAATATGATATAATTATGCTACTTAGATAGTAATAGTTTCAGATTATAACAAGCCTTTGAAGAGCATTTCTCTGCTTCATTTTTATGTCTTGAGACCTTAAATTAAAAATAATATTATTCTAAATCAGTATATATATATATTTTTTTTTTTTTAATTATATGATTCTTTGAATTTAGGATTTGGAGGGTTTTTTTCCCAATCTCTAGAAGAGTAAAAAGAGAAACTGTAGGTGGGGGGAAAATATTTGGTATTAACACATCCCTCAAGAGAATTATCTCTAAAATGTATTGAAAACTTCAATAAGAAAATACAATCCCTTCCCCCAACTAAGAATTCTCCAATAAATTTAAGAGATGCCTGGGGGGAAAAAAATTTTAAAAAAGGAAAATACAATCCAATTGCAAAACAGGCAGAAAAAAAGTTACTTTCCTAAAGAAGACCTTTAGGTGGCCAACAAATATGAAAAAATGACCCAAGATCCTGAGCTATTAGAGATACAGATCAGAACAGAAACAGATGGCATCTCACCACAGCAGCAGTAAACTCATGTTTGTTCCACATTAGAGGAGACAGAAAATACTGATGGTGGCGGAGAGAGTTTCCAGGTCTCTTACACTGCTTCTGGGAATGAAAAATGGTGTGGCCACTAGGAAAGTTAGTGTAGTGCTTCCTTAGACATTTGGAAATAGATCATTTGATGTAGCAGTCTCATTACTAGAAATATATCCTGAAGAAATAAGAGCTGAGATGCAAACCATGTTTGTTGCATTGGGTACAGTAGTAGCATAGAGATGTAAACAACCCATTTGTCTATCAAAAGACAAATGGACCCTGGTACACTGACAACAATGACATATTAGCAGCATGTTCCATAGAGCGAAAGAGAGTAAAGCTTTCTCACATACTTTGGACATGTTACGAAGGGCTATCCTTAGAGAGGGACATTATGCTTGGAAAGGTAGAGGGTCAGCTAAAAAGAAGATCTTTGATGAGATGGATTGACACAGTGGCTATAGCAGTGGACTCAAGATGTCAGTGATGATGAAGATGGCACAGAATGGAGCCAAGTTCAGATCTGTTTTCCATAAGTTCACTCTGAGTCATACTCTACTTAAAAGCACCTAACAGCAACAAAGACCAATAAAGAATTCCTGAAACACTGCATACTATGGATGAATCTAGAGCACATTAACGTATGTCAGTCATACATAGAAGGACATTTATGGTATAAAATCATTATTATAAAAAAGCAGAAAGAAAATCTATACACAAAATGGTTCTTAGCTTGTTATGGAGGATTAGAAGGGAGGAAGAAGGTAGTCAATTAATAGAGAGATAAATTGGGTAAAGAGGAAGTCAGTGTGCATCAAGGTGTTGATCACACATTAATTACTTTAATCAGTATTATGAAATGATTGTGAATGATTTTATGAAAAATACATAAATGTATCAACACTCAAAACGAAATCAATAAATTAATGCTATACAACAATAGTGTAAACTGCTTCAACATGCTCTTGATTCATTATAAAGGCTGAGTATGGTGGTGGTTTTGTTTTGTATGTACCAGCATTGTTATATAGCTGCATCTTCAGCCTTGAATCTTAGAAAGCTGCTTCTCTGATTTTTGTGTAACGAATTGACTGTATTCTTGCTTGTCTTTTCATTTGCTATATACTCCCACTTAGTGCATTTGCCTGTGTTTTTGTCTTCCAGCAATATCCAGATTATTATGCAATAATTAAGGAGCCTATTGATCTCAAGACCATTGCCCAGAGGATACAGGTATGGAGGTGGCCATATCTGGTTTAAGACAGATTGTTCTGTGTTTTTATTATTTCGGGGGCTTTTAGAAAGCAAAAGTAGATGTCTTTAATATAATGTACAAAAATTAGAATAGTATTACTGATTGTAGCTCTAAAGGAGGGAGACTGCTGTTCTTTTTTTCCTATAGAGAACAAAACAAAATTGGCATAGTAAATTTTGCTCTTAAAATGAAAAAAAAAAGCATTTGTCCTGAACACTAAATTGTAAAAAGTGCATTTGGCAATAAAAGCTATGTTGCTTCTTTTAAATACTTTGAAGATAATTTTCAGTGTCTTAAGTAAAGTCACCTATAACATGTTAGAATATAAGCTCAGTGAAAATAGAGACTTGTTCTCTTTTTTCCCCCCACTAAAGTCTTTAATGAAATGTCACTGCTAACCCAAAGGTGGCACCCCAGTCAGTTGGAATATTCTGGTGGCTCTGAGGAAGAACAAGGAGCAGTCTCCTCCAATGGGTTTATGATCTGAGAAAACTCACTCAAGGGTGAACTATGAATTGGTGTTTGGATGACAATGAGTTTGCATTTCGGCACCCCCAGTGATGATAGCAGTAACTAACATTCACGTGGGCTTGCTATGGCCCCAGCACTATGACTATGAATGTTTTCTGTGTATTAGCTAATTAATTCTCACAACTTTGAGAGGTAGATACTGTTGTTATTCGTATTTTCTAAGTGAGAAACTGAAGAAGTAAGATAATGTTCCCAAGTAACAAAAAAGAAAGGAGCTTGGTTTTGAATCCAGGAATTGCAACTCAACAAATCTGTGCTCTTAATTCATACACTGCAACAACTTCTTCACAGAGTAGGTGAGAAATAAATATTGAGTGAATGAATGACTGAACATTTATTTTTTAAAAAAAAATTTATTTGGACTGAAATAAATAGAAACATGAAGCCTATAAAAGTTAAGAAAGGTAGCAAACCAGTTTCCATTTAGTCAGTTCAACCTCATAGAGACTCCATGTGTTACAGAGTAAAACTGCTCCAAAGAGTTTTTGTTGACACATTTTTTTAGAGATCATCAGGATTTCTTCTGAGGCAGCTCTGTGTAAACTTAAGCTGCCAAGCTTTTACTTAACAGTCAGACACATTAACTGTTTCACCACTGAGAGTCTCCCTAAATTATACTTAACTCCTAGCTTTTAAAGTTGAACTGGCATAGGTTCTTTTCTGGTTCTTGCTAGTTACTTCCCTAAGTCTCCTAAGTCAAGTGATTACTCTGCTGTACTTTAGGTATTTTATCACTACTTTGCAGAGTTACAAGTCACTGTTAATATGTATACCAAGTGTCTGACATATCTCTTGTGAACTGAGGAGTTAATAATTGTGAACTGCTGCTATTTTCAGGGCAAGGAGGCCTTGGGACTCCCAGGAGATTAAACAAAAAGGAAAACATAATGTGTTAGACAGCCATTATTATTATTGACATCACAAGGTAATTTTTCACAGTGGTAAAAGGCAGAGTCAGTCGCCACACAAACAAATATATGCACACCCATGTTTATCATGGCTTTGTTCACAGTATCCAAGAGTTGGAAACAACCCAAGTGCCCATCAACAAACGAATGGGTAGAAAAGCTGTGGTATATTCACACAATATATTATGCTTCATTGAAAAACAAGGAACTCAAGAACGAACTGGGGAGGAGGGTAGAGAAAATAGTGCAACAATGAATGAATGAAAACCCAAAATCTCTGTAAATGTTCATTAAAACTAATAAAATTTAATAATTAAAAAAATTAAAAATAAAAAAAAGAAAAACAAGGAACTCATGAAATTTTATACAAAATAGGTGACCCCGGAGGACATTATGCTGAGTGAAATATCTCAATCACAAAAGGACAAATACTACATAGTGCCAATGATATTGGGGTTGGGAGGAGACCAAGAAGGAGGGGATAAATAATGTATACTGCATTGAAACAGATGAGGGAGAGCACTGTTTAAAAGGGATATATGATTAGGTATTGTCATGACAGGAGTCCTGAATGAAGATTGCATAGTGGAGTAGACTTGGGGGGAAGGATTGTATAAAAAAGACTTTTTCTTTTACTTTTGAAAGAGAAGAACGAATTAGGGGGAGGGGTCAGCAGGGAGAAACATGCAACAGTGGATGAATGGAAACCCTAAGTCTCTGTAAACTTTCATTAAAATTAATAATTTTTTAAAAAGGCGGAGTCACTGTGAGCTGAAAATAACTCAGTGACAGTGGAGTTTGGTTTGGTTTTATTGTCTCAGCTAGGAGCCTGATGGTGCAGTTATTAAGCACTCAGCTGATCACCAGAAGTTTGGTAGTTTGAACCTACCAGTTGCTTTTTTGGGGAGGGAAAGGCTTAGAGCTCTGTTTCCATAAGGATTATTAGCTCTAGAAGCACTATCTGTATTTTGTTCGATAGGGTCAATATGAATCTGACTAAACTGGATGACAACAGGTTTAGGTTTGGGTTTAATGTGGTTTTGGTCAGCTTCTTTCCTATATCCCTGAGGAAAGGCTCTCTAGTCAATTTATTGTATTGCTTCCTGACTACCTGCCATTCCACTGCTCAGAGACTTAGACTGCTTGTTTTCTAGTTGCAGCTTCTTGGAAAAGTTGGTTAATAGCCATCCTAGGCTACCTTAAGTAAGAATATGCATATATGAAAATGGTATTTGATAGTACATTACATTTTGGGGAAGGAAGACTGGAGAAGATCTAAAACAAGTACAATTCAGGAAAGTCATGGCATAGGCTGAGATCATATACAGCTTCTTTTACTGCCTTTATTATTACTATTATCATTTGCAAGTGGGGACCCTGGATGCTTTTTGGTCTACTTTTGAGCTCTACTCCCTCACAGAAATCAGAATGAATTCCTACTATTGCTTTAGTCCCTCAGGTAAATCCCAGGCATTCAGTTAGCTGACCCATGGTTATTTCCCCTGCACCCTGGCTGCTACACAGCACACAAACGAGCCACCCGCCCACTTTTAACCTCAGTTGTGGGAGATGAAGATCTGCCTACCATTTGTGCTGGAATTCCCTCAGATAAGATTACGTAGATGCCAGGCTACCTTACTTGGCAAATAAACAGCTACTTTCTTGCTTAGGTCTGGATTCCAACTTGTCCTTAACTTTACTTGTGCAGCCTCTGCTGACAGTTCTACTCATTCTTACCCTCTCTCTGCCAGGTTTAGTCTCCTCAGTCTCTAGGTCATGCCCAGTTCAACTAGACTTCCCCCTCATTAGTATTGTATACCTTATAATGAGAGGATGTTTTCATTACTCCTTTCCTTTATTAAATGAAGCATTCACTGTGGGAGCTGGAACTCTGTTTTTCCTGGTATCAGAAATTTCCTCAGCTTAAGCATTTTTCTATCACTCACACTTAAGTGAAAATATTTATGTTTCCCTTTTCTGACAGTTTTCTGTATTACACAGGTTCAGGCTTTCACAAGTTTCACTGTATTTCAGTCTTGCTGGATTATTTTGGATTTCATGAGCTTTAATGTAGACAAAGTCTAGCAGGGAGTCTAACACATAGTAGAAATTCACAAACATTAGCCCCTGTACTGGTAAGATGACTTCTTTTTACCTCAGGTGGTCCATGAAACTGAGAGAATTTACTTAACACTAACTTAATTGTTCAGAAAACACTTGGTACAGAATAAAGGCTATGTCTTTGTTAAAACAACTTTTACCTGCTTAATTTTTTGTTAACTGTAAACATTTTTAGTAGAAAAATACACCTTTGGTTTTGTTACTTACCTCAAACTTGTTTGTAAGTGGTAATTACGCATAATCTATAAAAGAATAAGTGATTGTATATTCACATTTATACTTTCCAATAAAATTGTTGGAGTATGATGACAATTTAATATGGAGTGTTTTTTTTAAGGTCTTACTGATTAACTCTCATTAAGAGGAACTGCTATATTTTGTTGTTTACTGTAGAATGGAAGCTACAAAAGTATTCATGCAATGGCCAAAGATATAGATCTCCTAGCAAAAAATGCAAAAACTTACAATGAACCTGGTTCTCAAGTATTCAAGGTTAGTTTTGGTGGTGTTGATAAGAGTAACTACATCAGTTTGAAGTGAAATCATAGGTGTAAAACATTTTTATTAAGAGATAAATCACATATTTTAGTTTACCAGTTTTAACTATAATGGGGTTTTTAATATTCACAGTTGTGCAGCCATCACAACAATCAGTTTTCGAACACTTCTTTTTTTTCTTCTTGTGTACTGTCAAATTGAATCCAACTGGCACAGGAAATTACCCCTCCTTCTCCAGCAGAGCATCTTGTGGATTCGAACTGTGCACCTTTGGGATTGCAAAGAACACTTTTCTTCAACTGTTTTACTTAAAATTTTCTGCTTAACTCTTAAGACACCCTCAGATTTTTTTTCCTGTGGTAGCCACACTGTTTATTTATTCACCAGCATTGTATGAGGATTGCTGTTTCTCTGCATTCTCACTAACACTTGTTTTTCTACAGATCTATTGTTTTAAATCATAGACATCTTAGTATTAAGTAGTAGCTTGCTGTGATTTTGATTTGTATTTTTCTGATGACAGTAATAAGTGAACATTATTCATGTGCATGTTGGTCAGTTTTGCCTCTTTGGAGAAATGTCTGAGTTGTTTGCCCATTTTTAATATGGATTATTGTTGTTATGTGCCATCAAGTCACCTACCACTATAGCAACCCTGTGTACAATAGCCGTAAACCCTGCTCTACCCTGTGCCAATTTTACTGTCTCTAACAGAATTACCTCCATTACCCCAGTCATTGAATCAATCCATCTCATCAAAGGTCTTCCTCTTTTGCGCTGTCCCTCCACCCTCCCAAGCGTGATGTCCCTCTCCTAGGACTGGTTCTACCTTGCAGTATGTCCAGTGTCAGATGAAGCTTCAGAATAATTTAGATTATTTGTCTTTTTAATGAGAAATAGTAATTTTCTTGATAGTGTCATTTTTAGCACAAGTTTTTAATTTTGGTGAAGTCTTTTGAATCTTTTTTTCCTTAGCTTATGTTTTAGACATCAACTCTAAGAAACTGTTACCTTAATCCAAGATTATGAAAATTTATGACTATATTTTTTTTTCTCTAAGAGTTAATTTTTTTCTGAGAGCTTTGGATCTTTGATCCACTTAATTTTTTACAGCTTGTGAATAGAGAGGGTCTGATATCATTCTACGTAGGCTTTTCATTTGTCTAAGCACCCTATGTTGAAAAAAGTCAGTTCACATTATATGAATGGTTGTATTTCTGGATTATCTGTTATGCTCCATTCATCTATGTGCCTGTATGTGTCTTAGAGCGACATCTTTGTTTCCATTTTTAGTTCAGCATATACAAATAAAATTCATTTTATCTTCACTCCTAATTTTTCTAATTCACGATTGGATCTTATAATGTAAGCTACTTAATAATTATAAAGTAACTAGGAGGCTTTTACATTTACATTTAATTAGTAACAACCTAGTCAAGATATTTTGGAAACTTTTAAAAAGCTGAGGGAGCTCTGCTGACCTAGCAGGTAAAAAGTTGTCTGCCCAGCCTAAAGGCAGACAATTAAAATCTTCCAACTGCTTTGCAGGAGAAGGAAGGGCAGTCTTTTCTTGTGCAGTTTTACCCCCTCTGAAAAGCTACTGGAAGTTTGTATTCTTTATAAAATAGAAAAGACAGAATACGTCTTTGTAGATATTTAATGGAACGCTCCTCCAAGTGGAAGGAGTGACATGGTAAGTACCCAGTGCATGAGTGAGAGCATTTTAAACTCTGCATTTTAAGTACCCAGTGCATGAGTGAGAGCATTTTAAACTCTGCATTTTATCCTATCTGCATTTTAAGCTAATGAATCTTTATTTTGACAGGATGCAAATTCAATTAAAAAAATATTTTACATGAAAAAAGCAGAAATTGAACATCATGAAATGGCTAAGACAAGCCTTAGAATAAGGTAAGTTAAAAAAATTTTTCGTGTCCTTTACCTTTATTATTTGCTAGATTTTCTAGGTAGTGAAATCAGTACAATTGAACACCAAATTTATGTTATATTTCAAAATTTTACTTGGAGTTGATAATACAGTTCTGAAGAGAAGGAGCACCCTTATCCATATTCATATTGACAACACTTTATTTTTTTTTTCGAGGTTTGTTTTTTTTTAAAAAAATTTTATTAGATTTAATGAACATTTACAGGGATTTTGGGTTTTCATTCCTTCATTGCTGCACCATTCTCTCCACCTTCCTCCCCAGTT